TCTCCTTCTCCTTCCCCTCCCTCTCCCTAACTTTGGCAGGCACACCCTCAAGCCTTTTCCTACCCACTTCCCCAAGGCATATTTTCCTTGCATCTCTTTCCCCTGAGCTCCAAGGACCCTTCTTCTGCCTCTGTAACTTGTGTTCCTGAGCCCATTTCTTCTATAGCTCACTTCTTCTACCTCCGTGACTTTCCACATAAACTTTCTCTTATAATTAGAGCCTCGGCTTTGAATTCTTCCTTAGCCAGAACTCGAGTACCAAGGTTGCTGAACCAAAGTCTGGTCTGACTCCACTGGGCTAACACCTGATGCCATTTTCATTTTGCCGCTGCTGATACATTGACCTAGACACTATAAGAATTGCACAGAATCCTTTTTTTCATTTGTTCATGCATTCATTCAATTGACTTTTTCTTGAGCACCTACTAATGACCATATTCTGGATTGGGTGTTTGGATTTAAGAAACTGAGTTAGACAAGCTTTCTCTCTTTAATATGCACAAACAAAAGTGTGAGACAGTGTGGTAATTTTAGTGATCTAGGTATGGAAACAGGCATTGTGGTGGTCTTCAGAAAGACTGCTTCACCAAACTGTCTCAATCAGGAAAACCTTCATAGCAGGGGGGATTTTTACAGGTTAAATAGGATCTCAGAGTCCACTAGAAAAATAAGACCCATACTAGGGTTTGGTTACGTTTGGCTATAAAGTCATTTTTGTGAAAACCAACCTCTAAGTTCCATGTGTTACCTTGATCACACCCTGACATCCCCCGCAGTTGCATTCATTCAATGTTTTTTATTTTTCTGTTTCATTTATGGGCCTTATATCATCAGAATAACTGAAAGATAGATGTGATGATGTTATAGACTCAGTTTTGGGACATAATGACTGCATTGAATGCATACATCCATATTTCAAAATTAGAAACAATAGCATATATATGTACAAATGATCTCTTGATGTAGGATATATCAGTCTTTTTTTCTTCCACCATTTTAGTTACTTCTTATAGAATAACTTAGTGCTTGTAGGTTTCCTGAGTGTCTTAAGCACTCTTACTCACAGGCATTAGCACAAGAATTAGCACTAAATAATTATGTATGGAAGATTAGCAAACATTTTTTTTCTCTTAATTCCAAAATAATCATGGTGCATTTTCTGATTTTATTTAGTTCACAAGACCAGATCTGTCCAAAAGCAGGTATCTAGGAAAGAGCTTTTCCACTCTGTGGGTTACCCTTCTCACTTGTCAAATGAGAATATAGCTACTACTACTAACAATAGCATTGATTTTACCTTACTGGATTGAGGTGAAAAGTAAAATCTTTAATCTGTGTGAGGGCATATGTGGATAACTGGTCACACTTGTAAATATACAAGGCACCTTTTGAGTGACCGGATTGTCAGCTACTTAAGCCAAGGTGAATTCAGCTTAATTAATTATTTTTCATCTGATTCTCCAAATGTTCTGAGTTAGCTTCATGTTTCCTCTCTTCTGTTTACCCCAAAGTGATTGCTGGCAAGTGCAATATGCTCAGTAAGGAACTTGTTGATTTATTTTTTTTTTAAAGTACTACTGATATTTTTTGCTTAGGATTCCTGAAACTTCTTATTTAATTTCTAGATTATAAGTTCTTTTGATAGAACCCTTATAAATATCACATGAAGAAGTTGAGCATTACTTTTAGGCCAAAGCAATTTACTTTTCAAAAATCTGATTAATTTCAACACAATCATCCAGGATGTCAGGAGATCTCAGTGTTGCTGATAGATGCTGACAGGTAAGGAAATTAAAATCAGGGAGGGAAGCAATTAAATACTGGCAAACATTACTTTAATGAGACATCCAAATCATTCATAAGCCATGGAATATGTTGTATTCATGATAAGTCTCTTAGGGTGGCAGGTAAGAGAGTGCATTTAAAAATGTTCTTCATATAGGATTTGATGATGGCAGTGAGGACATTTCCATGTTTGTCACCTAATGCCTTTGGTATAATCTAACATTTCAATTGCTTTCGGGACACATGTCCTAAAAATTATTCTTAAGATTATGACATTGTTTAATTTTTAAAAATCTTGGTATAAGTTTCATTACCACCTTCACTACCTTTCATTACCACCTTCACTACCATGTAAAACTTACCAAAATGAACAAAGTATGGGCAAAATAATTCATGGCTTTTGAAGAGTGGGTTTGAGAAAACCATGGTTAAGGCCTGTGAAAAAAGAAATAGAAAAATGCCTATTTCCTGCAAATTTTGTTATAAAAGGGCTAAGAGCAGAACCTGGGTCCTCAATCCACACATAGGTACCCTTCTCAAGATAACACCCTCTATTCAGAAAGAACATCTGGGATCACAGGGCTGAAGAGGTACTCATTTATGGGATTAATGGGAATTTTAACAAGTTCTATCGTATTTCTTAATAATATATAGCACTTAACTCAAGTATTAAGAGGCACTTGTACATTGATCTCAGCAAATCTAATGCCAGTTGGTTGGAATTTTTGTTCACAATGTTAGGATCATCATCCTAGCGGAATGTTGCTCAAAAATTATCCTAGGGCACAGTGATCAATTCAAGAGATACCATGGTTTGTCTAAAACTTGGTGAAACAGGCCTTTCTGTGCTTTTCATTTCTCATGTCCTTCTTTTCTGCTCCTTTCCTTTATTTTCCATCATTTTTTCCACTCTAATTTTTTCCTTGTTTAATTTTTTTTTCTCTTGTTTTCCCCAAAATGTAGTAGAAATTTTCTGTTATTCTATATTAGTACCAACTAAGTTTGGTAAGTCTTGCTTTTGCATAGATTCTAATTAATTGGTTGAAGTTTTGTAAATTAGAGGTTGATTTTACAGGTTTCAAAAAATTTTTTGGTTGAAATTGCTTCTGGAGACAAGAGCATTTTTCCTGGGAGAGGATAGGATGGGTGGTTTGACAAAGGGCGAAGACATACCAGGTCCCGGTTCAGCAGCTGTAAAATACACAGAGGGAGCCAAGGATAACTGGCTTCATTACCAAGATGCTAGAGCGGGATTTGTCCATTGTCCCCGATGTCTTTCTAGGTTTGATGGAGAACTCCGTTGCATTAGGAAATACTCAGGAGTTCCTGAGGTCACATGACACCAAAATCATGTGGGGAGGGCTGGTGAACTTAGTTGGAAGACTTTGGCTTTTGTACTGCATAAGACGAGACTTACTGATGAAGGCCCCTTCACGTAAATTGAATGGTGTCAACTTCTGTTGTTTCTGTGGCTAATGTTTTGAGGGCTTGCACAAGTATGTTGCATCTTTGAAACTTCACTGGGGAGAACTGAGAAAGTGTTTATGGTAAGCTTGCATTGAACACTGCTTCTGCATCAGTCAGCTTACTAATGTGTTACCTTTTGGTTAGACCACAGATGTGAAGTCTTCTCTTTCTCCTTTCACTTGCTAATGAAGCAGTACTGAATATTAATGTTTTGGTGCCTTGACAACTGACTTTTGCATGGTATAGACTCATTTTCCCTTTCCCTCCAAATAAGCATTCTCAAATTGGGGGCTGCATTATAAGTAGGAGGGTCCTTGCTGGTTTTGGTGTCAAGGTACAAGGTTAAATTTTTCTGTTTCATATTAACTATGTAATCTTTGAAGTTTGGTTTCCTTATTGGTAAAATTGGGGCAAAAAGATCACATTGGGGTTAAATGAAGGATGATTTGACATAAAATGATCATGCAACATTTTTCACAGTATAAAGTATAAGGCTAAAAGATGATTAATGTTTTAATTTGGTAACATATGGCAAGAATTTCTTGTAGTGCATCCTATCAACCATGTTCTATTCTTAATCACATTGGAGTCTTCTATGAAAATGGGATATATTATACAAACTTCCCAGAGGTCCTCTCCTTGTCAGTAAATCTATCCACTGTTTAAAACAAATGCTTTTGTTGCAGTCCTGTTGGAAGCACCATCTCTCTGAACCTAACACACGATATAGACACAAACTTGAAAACAAATTCAGATACACCTACGGTCTTGCTTTGGAGGGTTGAGATTTTACTTGATTTTTAATTTTGAGGCTTTGCGTTTTGGAACAGACATTCTTTATGATAAGTTAGGTGAGGCCATCTGAGGCTGACATAGACAACTATTGTTGTATTTTAAAACTAGGAGCCCAAAATGCCTAGTCCAGAGATATCCTCTAGCATTGTGTGCTTATAACATCATTTTTGATCATATAAACATAAGCTCATTGAAGAAATATAGTTGCAGGTACCATGACTGTCCACATCTATTGGTATGAAATAATGGAGGGAAATCTTACAAATAATGTTTAAGTGAGCCTTGGCTATGAAGTAGATATTATAATCTTCATTTACATAGAATGAAATTGACATTCAGATAGTTTAAGTAACTTGCTTAAGTTTATTTGTAGGAGGAAGATAGGCACAACCAGCTCTGAATCCTGTATGTATGTCCTATTTCCTCATGTCAGTTAAACAGCTAGTTTTACTTTATTATTCCTCTTTCCACCAAGCTTAGTGGATCAAGTCAATGAGCTGTTTGTCTATGTTTTCCCAACCTAATGTCTTAGGAGAAACTGAGGTATAATGGAAAGGCTACTAGACCAGAGTCCAAACTCATACCCTGCCATGTACTACACTAATGTGGTCTTGGCAAGTTACCCGCCTTCTCTGAACTTCAGCTTCCACATCTGTAAAATGACGACAGTGATGTCCATTTCACATGGTGTGTGTGAAGTTAATTATGAGACAGATGTTTGTTCCCTTCTCGTCTTCTCTATTCCTCTGTGAGCTTCTGTTTCCTCACCTATGAAGTTAGTAGAATAATCTTTTCCTGCTTCTTCATCAGATTGGTGTGAGGTGGAATGAAATAATGAATGTGAAAATGTTTTGCAAAACAATAAACCACTATGTAGTTATGAGTGTATAATGATTTATAAATAAATATAGCTTAGTGCCTAAGAGTAACTTTTACCTAATTTTCATTTACAGACACTACTGTTGCAGTTTGCTGAAACTTGTGCCCTCTGACCATTCGAAGAGCTATTATCTGAGGTAAGAGGGGACTGTCTTCACACTTAAGAAATGCTAATAGGCATCTTAGCCAATAATGCTTAAGGTTGACTCCACTCCCACCAGAAGAAACACAAAGATGTTTCATGAGCACCAAAACTGAAAAGTGGCCAAGATAATGAACTGCCCTCCTTTTATGTCTTGATTTAATTTTCTCTTTCAATTCTTAGCCCTTAAGGTTGAATATTAGAAGTTCAAAAATATAAGCTATGCAGCAGATTCAGATTTAATGAGTACTTAAGTATTTGTAATATGCCATGTACTGGAATGTTCTTATCTGTTGTCTTGTATGTTCAGATACTATGTTGCAGGAGGTCTTTCTCTCTGGCTTCCTGGCCACCTTTTGAGTGCGTTTTTTACTGTGCAGTGCTGCCAGTGTTTCTTGGCTTTGACAGAGCCAAACTTTACTAGTTAGATCCATCACCATCTCTTAGCTGCCCAAAAAGCATCTCAAAAAAAAAAAAAAAACCAAACCAAAACAACACACAAAAACCCTACAAACATAATCCAAGGCTACAAGAAGAACAACAAATTCCTAAGAGTAGGATAATGAGTTAAGAGCCTTTTGAAACCTAAAACCCATACTATCTAGAGGGGCCGGTATGAAGAAGACGCCTTTCACAGAGGAATGCATTTTTCTTGTTTGTCAAGAACATGGAGGCCAGAAAAAAAATTGAAAAAACCATGGTAGCTGTAGAATTTAAAAAATGTGAGCTTTTTCCTACTGCTAACCAGTTGATAACCGCACTTCCAAGTTCACTCTACTGTATTTTTTGTCATTGTTTAGAAGTCGTTGATACAGGATTTGTAGAAGAGCATCTTTGTGGAAGATCTGCTATCAACATAACAATAATGTAAAGATTTGTTGTTCTGCTGAATATTTTGATAATTCATTTGTTATGTAATTTTCATGATCTTGAACTTATAAACATGACTTTAGTTACATAGACCTTGAAAAGAATTGAAGCTTGTTGGTGCTGCCCTGTATTTGTAGGAATTAATGATTCAAAATTAAGTGAAAGTTATGGTGTTACATTACTGTTGTTTTTCAAAGCTAATGATCACTATATCTGTTGAATAAAAAACACACCATGTGCAATAAGGTGGGTGATATATAGACAACACAGCTTCTCTATAATTAGATGGAGGAGCCACTTGTATTGGTTAGGTTTTATTCTCATGATTACAAAAAGAGCGTTATAAGAAAAGGCAGTGACTAAAAATACAGGAATGGATCCTGCCCATCATTTGGACCCTCTCTAGTACAAAAAATGCCCTTGGAAAAAAGTCTTTCTCATTAATTTCATGCATTTTCATGGATAAATATATCAGAAAATCATGTACTATAGACATGTAGTATCAGTTTTTGATAGCTTTGTTAGGCAGAGATCTGACTTGTTCATTTAGAAACTGTAATTATTATATTAACTTTTCTCCAAACACTTATATAGTTAAATAATAATAGAATAAGCTTTGAAAAGTGGTTAACTGTGCCCCCTCCTTTCTTTTCTACTGAAACCCATCTTGAAACTGCAAAGAAGAGTTTGATCGAGCTTGGAAAAACCATGAAAAATTGTTCATGAGAAAGAGGGATTTTCTTTCTTTCTATTTATTTATCTATCTAATTCATCTATCTATCTCCTTCTATCATCTCTCTATTTCTGTGTGCCCTCTATATTTTGGAGGTGGGAGCTGGTGGGGAGGAAAGGATAAAAACTTCTCAAATAACCTTTGGAAGGTGGAGAAGTAAATATTCTGGGGACATGCTGTAGAATTTAAAATAATCTTGTGGTAGGTAATAATTGGTATCAGTGGCAGTAATGAAGAAAAAAATAACAGTTTAAATAAATAATTAGACTTCACAGTAGATGTGTCAAGAGGCACCCACTTAATGAGTATAATCATTGTTTTTCTCTGCTCTTAACGTTGATCCACTGACTGTGGTGTGTTCTCTGTCCCATTTCCAAACCAAGTCTATTTAAAGCTGCACTTCATGGAATCTGAAATGGTATACCCTGTTTACTATTTAGAGCTGATACCCAATGTTCTTTAATAGGCAAGATCTGTACTTGAACAGGAACAGGCTTCTGGCCTTCTGTAGACAGTTGATTATTCCTGTTTTCAACAGTGTGATTCATTAGCAAGGATGAATAATACCCAATTAATTCTCATGAACTTGTCTCTATTGCTAGAATGACTTGTTTATTACAAGTTGATGGAATAACCCTAGTCTGTCTTAAATCAAATTATTGTTTTCTGAGGTAGAGGTAGTAGTTTTAAATTAAATTATTATTATTATTATTGTTAGCAGCTACATGGATAGGCTATCATTGTTTTGATGAATGAAGCAGTATATTTTATGTTATGATATCTGAACCAGAAGTCATGAGAATCTAATTTTAATCCCATCTCAGGCTGTGTCACCTTGAACAAGTCCGTTTGGGTCCCCCAGGTACTCTTCAGCATCTCACAGCAGGCGGAGTTGGACCAGTTCACCATGGCACTACTTCTAGTCAAATGCCTTACTATCTGTGACTTCCTTTCATCTGTCCTTTTTCCCCTCCTGCTGCCACTTGTCCACATTCATAGGAAAATCCTAGGACTGTATAAGAGAGCCTGTATGAAAACAGTTCATCTATTTAGCTTTTGATTATTTTATATACTAGAAGGGCAATTAGGTGTTTGAATTATACACTATGATTTGGCATTTACGTTTTGGTTGCCCTCTACCTCCAGTGACATTTAGTTTCTGGTTAGAAAGGAAAAAAAAATCATCTTTATCCATGTTTCTCAACTGTATAATCTGGTCTTATTCTTAGAGGATCTGGTAAACTTATCCACTGGTAGCATCAATTTGTTCTTTGTTCTGTCGTTTGACTTTTCCAGGTTGAATCATTGACCTGTAAGGAGAGGTAAGAATATCAGAGCCAGAGGGGAATTTAGGAATCAATCTAGCCAAATTCTCTCATTTCAGAGATAAAGATATTGGGGTCAGGGAGGGAATCCAATTTGTCTAAGGTATTAGTAGCAAATCCTGAACTAGAATTCTTACTTCTGACTTTATAATTGTATCTCTATTTTAGAAGAGAAGTCTTTCTATACACTGTTCTTTTGCAATTCAATGAATAAAAGGCCATTGTCTTTTAGGCTAAACCAGTGTCAACGCAGGGATGGCAGAGGCCCTTAAAGCATAAATGGATTCTAGGCATCTTCATTCCTCTTAGGGGACAGCGGAGCAGAGGGCTCTGGCTGGCTTCTGCTCCTCGTGTTGACTAGGAGCACGGGCACCCCGCTGCAGCCTTCTCTGTGAGAGATGGCTTGACCCTGACATCGCCTCTGTCCCCTCCACCCATCTTCTGGTCTTCTGCCCTTTTCTGATCCAATGAATGATAGGAAGCTGAGGGTGAGCCCCTCGCTGGCTGTTTGCATAGTTGGGAACATCAATAAAGAGAAGACAGATGAAGGATTCACAAGCAAGAGGTCAGGAAAATAAGAGCCAATGGAGTGAAATCTAGTTCAAGGCCTGTAATTCCCAGTTGCTGTGCTACACAAGGTTTATTGCAGCATCTCTCATTTTTTTAGACTTTCTGCCTTGTTCTTGTGGGACTGGGTTGGGACTGAGAAGCAGCTGGAACGATCTTTGCCAAAACCAAACTCATGTTTTCATGACATTTCCAAGTCCAGACAAGAGAGTTGTAATTATGTATTAGTTAGAAGAGAACTTAGAGGCCACTGGATATAAACACTGATCACAGTCTTCCTAATAATGATATATGGAATGTGGAAATCATTTTACTGAGTCTGAGGTTCAAATTCTGCCTCTAATGAATTTGCTATGATTCTGGTGACGGGATGATCTTCTTTTGTACCTCAGTTTCTCCACGTATGAGACAGGAGAAGGAGGAGCATGGAATAGCTGAGAGTAACAGTTCCCCCAGCCCTTATTTTCATGATTCCCTGATCTGCCCAAGGTGCTATAGCAAGTTTGCAACTGAACCTGGTCTTGAATTCAGACCCCTTCACTCTGGTTTGGAAGTTATCATCGTGATAACTTCCACTGCTCATACTTTCTAGATTGCGTGTTTGTATCTCTCAGACTTGTTGTATTAAGTAAACGTTTTCTCTCTCAGTTGACAGATCCCTTTCTGTCAAGGGACTTGTCTAGCATCATTATTCTTAATTTGTGTGAGCATGTGTGTGAGTGTGTGTGCTTGGGAGCAGGAGAGAGGATTATGGAATATTTCGAAACTCACGTATGAATCTATGAAATTGTTAGAAAATGCACGTATACGTAGGATGCTGTTTAAAATTTTAGTTTTGTAGACCGTTTGGAAGGCCAGGCCTAGGTCCTAGGTTAAACAAAAGATAATTTTAACATGGGAAATCAGAGGTGACATTTGGGGAACATACATTTCCTGCTGTTGTGGGATTTTTTTCCCACAGTTCACCTATTTTTACTCTGGGTTTCCACCTTACTTATTAGCATGACTCTGGATTTTTATTTGTCTCAAACTGTTGAGTGATGTTTTAACATTGAAACTCTTATTCTGCTCGCTTCATTCATTCATTCAGTCACTCACACAAATTACTTGTAATGTAGAATCTGCTAAATGTTAGCCATTTTAATACATTATTTCATTTATTTTCATGAAATAAAAAATTGTTTCCCCCATTTTTCATATGCAGCAACTGAGATCAGAGAGGTTGAGTAATTTGCCCAAAGTCATACAGCTAATAAATAGCACAGTCTGGATTTAAATTTAGATTTGCTCCAAAATATGTGAGCACCTGCAGAGATAATATTGAATATGAAGAGGAACAATGAAACAATTCTATAAATCTTAGAAATCGATTGCATGATAGTTAATTAATTAAATGCTTATCTGGCACCTTAAGGCAGAATAAGAACTGTTGGACAATTATATAAAATGAGTTATGAATAACTTAAATTTATCCTCTTTGAAAAAGTTTCTATCAGGTTA